ATTTATTTATTTTTTGGGAGGGGGGCAAAATTTGGCTCCTGGGGCTGGAGGAGAGCGACTGTCGCCGAGCCTCGAACCAGGATCGCTGCTGGCTTCCGCCAGAGTCGTCAGAAGTTAAGGTAAGCAGGCCAGAAATCCGCTGCTATCAGTGGTGAATGGCGGAGTTTCTGTCCTGGTGATTTATGGCCAGCGACTTCGCTCTCGGTTCAAGAAGAGTTCACAAGGCTCGGAGCTTCCTTCCATTCCAGGCAGTGACGGATAGAGAGAGCCTGGCGCATTTTGGAGATCGGGGCCGCTTGCCCTTCGCCCCCTCCTCAAGTTTCTGGGAAGTGGCAGGAGGGATTTGGGGGCACAACACTGGGGAGGGGGAAGCCCTCCCCCGAATGTGGGGATAGACCGAGGGAAGGGTGAGGTGGGGTTACCCCAAAATCCAAGCCAGAAAGAAACAACCCGAATGGGATTGCCTGGCCCACCTAAACTAATGCTCAGCTTTGGGGTCGTTTTAGGCTCATTTCTGGTCCCCCTGTTTGCCCAATCAGGGTTAAATCGGTTCTCCTCCAAGCTTGTTGCCTTTGGAGGCTGATGGGTCGGCCAGTGGAAGGGAGGGAGGATTTTTGTTTATTTTGTGGTGGCAGAAAACATGGGAGCCTTAGGTGGCCAAGGCAAACTTCCCACGGAAGCTTTTTCCTGACTTCTCAGGACTTAGGAAAGTTCTACAGGAAGGAAAGGACTCAGTTTACTTGAAGCCCGAACATTTGTCTTTCTTAGCAGAGACATCCTGATCTCAGGCTAAAGTGTGTGTCTCCCCCCCCCCCCGCGCCTGTTTCCCTCCAAGTAAGTCCCACCCCAAGTAATATGGCTTATTTCCCAATCCAGTAGATATAGGATTGTGCTGGGAGGGTGCAGTCTTTGTATCCCCTTCCTAAAGAGTAAATTGCATTGCACTCAGTGGGGACTGATTTGGGCATTCACAGGGGCTGAAGTCGGAGGGTTACAAAACAGACAGCCACCCGTCCCATGATAAACAAGAAAGGTCACTCTTATCGAGGGAATGGGTTTGCTGGAGCTGTTTTTAAAGGGATGGACCTATTAGCCAGTTTCAGTTTAAAAGGGAAAGGAAGGAAGAGGAGGGGAAAGAAGAATCTTGTGAAAGCTTTCAAACGAGTAGATTTATTGTAGGTCGAACTTTTGTGGATTGCAACCTGATCCCTGAGAAGCCTGATGAAATGCAACATTCAGGCCTCAGGTATATAAGCACAACTGTGTTCTGAGGCCTAATTTTGCGTTCCCATAACACTTCCTTTTTTCTTCTTGATCATCAGTCGTCCTGTCTCGAATAGGCGAGTTGTTCTTCGCAGCGAACATTTTAACCTTTGGTTTTGTAATTCCGTAAAAAAAGTACCATCAGAGTTTTGCCATTGATTTCCACAGGAACTGTTCTTCATACTTAAATTTATTGTTGCTAAATAGATTTACCCTTGATGTTGTTCGGCGTGGAAATTGTGTTACCTAACACTCTTTGTTATTCTTCCCCCACTCCATTTAGTTCACCTTTCTCTAAGCTAAGTATATATTTTTTCTACAATAACAGGGAGTTTATATGTGGGTTTGTGTGTGAAAGTGTGTGACCCAAAAGAAACTGTTGATTGTTGTGGTTGCTGATTTCTACTTCCTAGTTTTCGGAGAGATAGCTGTTTTGTCACAAAAATGAAGAAAACAGAGAAAAAGGTGATGGTGCAGACTAAAGCAGGACCCTTGAAAATAATTAATTCATTGTGGCCTGCTAAAATGCTCGGTGCTAATTTTAGCATACTATTTTAGACTCGCAGGTGTTATTAGATTCTTTCCAAACTCCTCTTATAAAACTTCCTCCCTTCCTTTTTATACGTCCTACTTTGTTCTTCAGAAATTTTAACAATCCCGTACCTTCCCTCCTCCAAGAAGTCAGGAATATAGATAGATTGGCCAGGAAGCAGATTGCAACAGCAAAGGACACAATCCAGTGAAAAGTGAAGCATTTGTGTTTAAACTGATGTAAGGTTTCCATCTAGACGCCTTCCACTTAGCCAGACTGAGACTAGGCTTGGTGAACTGCAGCCGAAGAAAGTTAAGTCGCCTTTCTTTTCCAATCCAGACTCCACTATTGTCATAATAACTACCAAAGACTTGATTACTGTAAAAACATTTTTTAAAAAAATCAAAAGGCAGCTGCCATCTGTAAGCAGGTTATTAAATTAATGTGTCTCTATAACGCGCCTTGTTTTCCAAGAAACTGATGTGAATTGAAATGCAAACACATGCAATTAATTTGAGAGTGCCTATGATACTGTGTAATGTTTCTTTCCCTCAAGCAATAAACACTGACAGAGAACTGTTTTGGCCCTGAAGAGTGAGAGGAGGATGCTGGTTAAGAAAGATAGGGCTATGGAAGTGAAGGTGTGGAGAGATGGGTTTTAATTTGGGCGGATCTGCCGGCCTGTAAAAAAGTTCTTAGATTGCAGATAAGATTGCTGTGAATGGAAACCTCATCTCTAGCTGGTTATGATCAGACAGGTAAACACTGTCGAGTGAGCAGGAAAAGATTTGCCTGGGTTGCAGGAGCACTCTGTGGTTTTGTGTGTCCATTCCCTTCTCTGCAGCCAAATGACCCCCATACATCAAATTACATAGCAGTTTCAAAGACAGAACCTATTATCCTTAAGTTGGTAGGAAAGTTCAAGCCGTGGTCATGGAGATGAACGCTGATTTTTTTTTTCCTTGAGGTTCCTGGTGTGTGTATCTTTCCCCCAATCCATCATGTTTGAACAGGTAGAATTTGGGTATATTACATGAAGCAGGAGGCAGAGCGGGGGAGGGGTGGGGAGAGGAGATCTTGGAAAAGTAGTCTCTTAAAGACCCATCCACATTTGATACACTACGGATTAGTTATTAAGATTTCCCACAGATGACAGTCAGGGATCCGTCTGAGGGTGGAAAAGAAACTTTCCTCAAAGAAGGACTAGTCGGCAGATCACTTCAGACTGTTATGTTTGGCTACATGGTGATGTTGCTTGAACCTAGAGACCAGGATTTGTGTCTTGGTGTAATGTCACAGCAGTTAAAGCTAATTTATGCACAGGAACTTGGCAGGCTATAAAACAGCAAAAGATAAGGCTTTCCCCAGTCATTGCCCCGTTTCATCATAGGAGGGCCATTCCCTGTTACATTTCGCAAACTTTTCATGAGTTCAGATCCCTTGCATTGTAAAGAAAGGTTGAGTAGCCCTTCTTTGTAAATATCACAGAGGTATTTGTATTTATAGAATGTCTTGAAAAGCAGAAGTATTCAACATTTTAAATTTAAGCTTTGGTAAGATGGCTTTATTTATTTATTTATTTATTTAAATTAAGGGAATAAAAATGATTATTCTAAAGTGCAAGAGGAAATGTCAACTACTTCCTTCCAGACTTGGGGGGGGGGGGCTGGGTAGAAAATAATCCTGGCAGATATACGAGTTTTGCTTGGCTGCTCTTATCTCCAGGCCCTCCAGTAAGTATCCTACAGAGGTCTCTTTTGTGAGAAACTGTGAAATAGTCCCCCCCTCTCCCCGCAATTTCTGCTAAATCCTAGAAACCCACATTCTCCTGGAGCAGAAATTTACATGGTTCTGGCTGCCAGTAAGTCCCGACAGATTCCCTCCTTACTCCCCAGTCGAAATTCTCTTCGCCTCCAGGCCAAGTCATGCTGCTAAATATTGCTGACCACTTTTTCTGTTATGGCTTTCATGTCACTTAGCTATTGAAAGTAAGATGGATTTGTACTATTTCTTCCCTCTCTCGTGCTTTCCTTACACCATAGGTCTACCAGGAGGGGCCATTGGAGGAGGAACGTCACGTGACAGAGGGGTGCCAATGTTATTCTTTAAGGGTGTCAAGACCCTGTCAGTTTGTGAAATAAATATTGGGAAACAACAGAAATGCAAAAAGCGACCTATTACGACAGTTCTGCGATCTATGGCGGCTATCCCTACCAAGGAACAAATGGTTTCGCTTACAATGCTAGTCAGCAGCAATATCCTCCCCTGCCTCCTTCTTCCTCGCTGGTGGAAACGGAGTACCATCGACCGGCCTGCTCTTTACAGTCCCCTGGCAGTGGTGGAGGAACTGGAGGAGCTGGAGCAGGCTCTCTGCCCCACCACAAGGCCAGTGACATCAACGA